ACCTAAATTGAGAGAAACTCAAAGCATTTCCACTAAAATCAGGAACAAATTAAGGTTGTCCACTCTTACCATACATATTTAATATAGTACTTGAAGTCTTAGCCAGAGCAATAATACTTAAAGAGATCAAAGGTATACAAACAGGAAAGGAAGTAGTCAAAGTATCTTTATTTGCAGATTATATAATTTTACATATAAAAATACCCTAAAGATTCCACAAGAAAACTTCTACAGTTGACAAACACTTTTAGCAAATTAGAAGGATTCAAAATTAACACACACAAAATTCAGTAGCCTTCCTATGTACAAATGATGGACAGACTGAGAAAAAAATCAAGGAAGTAGTACCTTTCTTTTTTTTCTTTTTTTTTTCTTCTTTTTTCATAATAGCCTCAAAAATATATTGGGATAACTCTAACTAAACAAGTGAAAGACTTGTATAATACAAACTTTAAGACATTGGACAAAGAACTTAAAGAAGATACCAGAAGCTAGAAAGATCTCCCATGCTAATGGACTGGCAGGACTAATATTGTTAAAATGGCCATCATACCAAAACTAATCTACAGATTCAGTGCAATCCACATCAAAATTCCAACACAATTCTTCACAGAAATTATAAAATAGTTCTCAACTTCATATAGAAACATGCCCCCCCACAAAAAATCCAGGATAACTAAAACAATACTGAATAATAAAATAACTGCTGGAGGTATCACCACCCCAGAGTTCAAGTTGTACTACAGATCTGAAATAATAAAAACAGCTTGGTATTGGCATAAAAGTAGACATGTTAATCAATTGAATCAAATTGAAGGGCACCATATATCTAAGGGCACCTGATTTGTTTTTTAAACAAAGAAGCAAAATAAGTAAATAAGTAAACACTGGAAGAAAGTACAGTATCTTCAACAAATGGTGCTGGTCAAACTGGATGATGTTTGCAGAAGAATGGAAGTAGATCCATGTCTATCACCTCAAACAAAACTGAACTCCAAATAGATCAAGGACCTTAACGTAAAACCAGATACCCTGAATCTGATAGATGAGAAAGTGGGGGATAGGTTTGAAGTCATTGGAACAAGAAAGACTTTCTGAATAGCACATCACTAGCACAGACACTAAGACCAACAATTAATAAATAGGACCCCATGAAGCTGAAAAGCTTTTGTATATCAAAGCACAGTATAATTTGGGCAAAGCAGTAACCTATGCAATGGGAAAAGATCGTTACTAGTTATACATCTGATAGAGAGTTCATATCTAAAGTATAAAACTGAACATCAAAAAACAAATAACCCAATTTAAAAATGGGGTACAGAACTAAACAGAGAATTCTCAAAGGATAAAACACAAATGACTGAGAAATACTTACAGAAATGTTCAACCTTCTTAGCCATCAGGAAGATGCAAAATAACACTACTTTGGGTTTTCACCTTACCCCAGTCAGAATGGTCAAGATAAAAAAAAAAAAAAAAAGACAATACATGCTGGTAAAGATGTGGTGAAAGCAGAACACTTACTCATGCTAGTGGGAGTGAAAACTAGTACAGTGACTATGGAAACCAGTATGTCCGTTCCTCAGGAAACTGAGATTTTATCTACCTCAAGATCCAGCTATGCCACTCTTGGGCATATAACTAAGGGATTCTACAGCCTACTACAGAGATACTTGTTTATTCATGTTCATTGCTGTTCTTTCTTAATACCCAGAAATTGGAAACAGACTAGATGTCTGGCAACTGATGAATGAACAGTAAAAATGTAGTACCTTTATACAACACACTATTATTCAATTGTTAAGAAAAAATGAAATCATGAAATTGTCAGATAAATGGATGGAGCTAGAAAATGAGAAACTACAATAGGAGGATTAAATAGGGGTGGGAATAGGAGAGAATAGTAAAGGAAGAAATATGGAGAGGGACAGGTAACACTAAAGGACATTTGAAAAACCATATGAAAACTTCCAACTGTAGAACTTTCTGAATATATACATATATAAAAGGAATCTAAATAGAATCACCAAATATTAGCCAAGACAATATCCCAACTAGACTTTGAATGACACCCAGTAAAACCTCCAATACCAGGATTGGATCTTGTTGAGATGTATTGCCAAGGCTATTGGCTACTTTTCACAACCTGAGGGTAAGGCCCTATGGCTAAAGAAAACACATGTGTCATCGAACATGGAGACATCAAGCTGATGTCTAACTAGAAGCTTCACCCCTAGTGACTAGCATTCATGGTACTGAAGGGTACTCCTCATGATACAGAAGGACTAAGGCAAATCATCAATATCTTCCAGCTACAAACTTTGCAACCTCCAACAGTGACCTGCCTCCAAGATATATATATTTGTGTGTAATAGTGGCACAAATGTTATGGGAGTAACCAACTACTGTGATTGGACTTAAGGCCCACTCCATGAGAAGGAACCACATCTGACACTGATAAATTGGCCAAGAACCTGAGAATAGCTAGGTCATGGGCATAGGGGGAAACCTAATACTATTTTTCTGCTAAAGAAAAAAAGACCAAAAAAAAATGACTTCTAATGATATACCACTATACCCATAGATCAGTACCTCACTCAACCCACATCAAGAGAAGCTTCTTCGTGTAGCAGGTGGGAAACTAGTGCAGAAACAGACAATGTGCAGAGAATAAGAGACTTTAGATCACTCAGTTTTAAATTAGATGTCTTCATTAAATCCATCCCCTCAGTGCTCAGGGGAAATAAAGAAGATGAGGCAGGAATATTTTAAGATCAGAGGGGATAGACAACACAAAGGAACAGTGTCTTCCAGACACCACAGGACTGATGCACATATGAACTCAGAGACTGGAAGCATGCATAGAACCTGCACAGGTTCAAGCCAGATGGGGACCCAGTGCTGAGAAGGGGAAGCGGACATGATCTCCTACCCCTAACCAAGAAGTTATCTACAATTGATACATGCTTGTAGCACAAATCTTAAATGGTCTTATTAATAAAATCAAACCTGAAGCCAGGTATTGGTGTGAATGCTGGAAGGTCAGAGAAGCAGAACAAGCCACAGCTACCTCATCTTGCCAATTCCTCAGCTAATCCTGTTTCTTCAGACTGGAAACCTCTGAGTCCTCATCTGAATGCATTTCAGCTGACTGCTGCTAAAAGCCTAAAAGCTTAACCAATTACCAGTTCCTGGTTTTCACGCCTTATATAAATATCTTTCTGCTTTCTGCCATTACTTCCTTGGATTAAAGGCTCACTTCCTGGGATTATCACCATACCTGGCTGTTTCCAGGGTGGCTTTTAAACTCACAGAGATCCAGATGGATCTCTGCCTCCCCAGTTCTAGGATTAAAGATGTGTGTGCCACCATTTTCTGGCCTCTATATCTAGTGACTGTTCTGTTCTCTAATCCCAGATGAGTTTATTAGGATGCACAATATTTTGGGGAACACAATACCACCATACATGCTGGTAAAGGAAAAATTAGTTTTTTTCAATGAAGTCTTACTGGTTTTATTGACTACAGTTTAGGATAGGATCCATCTAGGAATAAGTGGCCAACACAAAGCAAACTCAGTGGTACTTTGTAGATTTTTTTTTGTCTCATTTTGCTTTGTTTGGGCATTTTTTTGTCTTATTGTTTTTTGCTTGCTTATTTTTATTTCTGGTGTGTGTGTGTGTGTGTGTGTGTGTGTGTGTGTGTGTGTGTGTGTGTGTGTTCTCTGTATCTTTTTTTCCTTTTTTGTTTCTATATTTTATTTTAAGATTTATTTATTTATTATGTATACAGTATTCTGTCTGCATGTGTGCCTGCAGGCCAGAAGAGGGCACCAGATCTCATTACAGATGGTTGTGAGCCACCATATGGTTGCTGGGAATTGAACTCAGGACCTCTGGAAGAGTAGTTGGTGCTCTTAACCTCTGAGCCATTTCTCCAGGCCCTTGTTTCTATATTTTAAAGAAAGAGAACATGAAGTTGTCTGGGTAGGAGGAGGGGGGATCTGAGAGCAATTGGGGGAAAAGAAAAAGATGGTCAAAATACATTGTATAGAAAAATTTATCAATAAAAAAATCAATTTACCATATGACCTATCAAGTTCACATCTGTATATACATATGCTCAAAAGAACTAAAATCCAGGACACAAGGAGATGGATATTTGGGCCCTATGGTCACAGAGAGTCACAACAGCCAAAGGAATTAAGCCAAGTCTTTCATGGATGAGTGGCTAGACACAATAAAGCAATGGAATATTGTCCAACCAAAGAGAGAAGGAAATGAGCCAGCCCCAGAGGAACAAGTCCTGTAAGACTTCTCTTCCCTTACTCAGCACCTAGAACAGCCACGAAGTTAGAAAGCTGGTAGAAGCCAGAGGGGAGAAAAGAGGAACAGGGAGCTATTTAATAGGCAGAGGATTTGAGTTCTGCAGATGTTTAAAGTGTTCTGAACATGGATAGGGTGATGTGTGTACCAACTGTGAGCATTCTTAATACGAATCTCCTGTAGTGCAGATTAAAATATGGAAAAACTTCTATTATAATCGAAGCAAAATCAAAATGTATTCTCTACCAGTAGGTTGGATGAGTTTGTTGCTTTAGAAAGGATAGACATTAAGTTAATATATTATCTCTCATGTAACAGAGCAGAATTTTGTAACTATAGAATTTATAATTACAACTGCATATTTTAGTGTACAGTATAACCATATCATATAGTGTTGGAATATATAATATGTGCATTTCCATACAGTATGTTTATGTATATATATATATACTTATCATATAGTCCTTTTATGTTTAAACCAGAAATAATTGAAAATATAAAATGTTATTTACTGATCAGACCAAGTAGAAATATCAGAAAATAAAAAACAAACAAACAAAACAAAAAAAATCCTTGTTCTCAACGTAGTCCCTTCCCTGGCTTGGGGGAAGTTGAAAAGCTGTCTTCCCATTCTTGCTGCTCTAACAGGCAGAAGAGAACGGCATGGCCTCTTACCCCGGAGTTTGAGTGTTGGCTGGCTCTTCCATGCTCTGGGCATCATTTCTCTTCGTGCCTTCAGGACAAATTGGCTGTTAATGAACTTGCAGATGCTGGAGATGCTGAAGGTAACTTGAGGGTGGATGAGGGAGAAATATTCATCTATTCCAAACTTCTGGGTTAGGAGTCCAGGGATGTACTTCTGAATATTCACTCCAGCTTGCTTGACCCTTAGCTATCCACAGAGGACACATGTCAGTCTAGGAATCAGAAAACAACTCGCACCGTTGGCTTTCCCTTAGTTATGACATTTGGGTTTGGCTTTGTGACTCACTGGGGAAGAGGGTCAGTAATGGAATAAGCATAATGAAGCTATCATTTTCTTAAATAGTCAAATCTGCAGCTGATGTTGGAAGAGGAATGAAACAGCATGGGGCTGCTCAGAATCAGATTCTGACTGCCCAGAGGCATTAAGGCTCTCAACAAAGCCAATAGTTCTTCATTCCATGCTAGATCTCCTCATCCCCTGCACAGCTCCTGGCTCCTTCATAAATTAGCAAAATTCTGGACTTGTCACCAGCTCATCCTGGGACCAGGATGGGACAATATTTCTCTGCTGTCTCCAGAGAATGCACAAAAGGAGCATGAAAAGGGACCTTGACATCACACATCCAATACCAGCACAGTGTCTGGAAGCCTTTACTAGTCATAAGATCACAGGTAAGCTACGGAAATCAATGTTATGTATCATTCAGTTTCTATTAGTCTATAACAGAAGCTGAAAGGGAAGGGAGTATTTAGAGCAGATTGGATTGAAAACAATGGCATGAGTAATAATAATGTGGCATTGGAAGAATGTTGGCATTCACTAGCTTATAATTCTGTTTCCCACCTATGGTGTTTTATTTTATTTTTTGTTTGTTTTTTGTTTTTAACTGTCATGGTACCATCACTTTTCTATGGGAAGATACTATCCTCATGTGTGTACATGTCACAGAATTCATGCTGAGCAGTCAGCTGCCAGGCGACATGCATATGAATCCCAATAAACACTAGAGGAAATCCAAATGGCTGACTAGTTTAACACATATGTTTGACTAAATTCATCTTGCCTACATACCCTTTCAATGAATAAAAAAAAAATCAACTCACTTCACATGTCTGTATCATCTATATCTACACCTGGTTTTGTTTTGAGGTGTTACCTCTTGCTTTGCAGCCTAGGCTGACCTTGAACTTAACCCTTGCCTCAGCCTCCTGGGTGCTGTAGTTATAGATGTGTGCCATCATACCCAAGCTTCAGTTGAAGGATACTTTATCCTTGGAAATTGATAGCAGTCCATTTAAATGGCCATGCTCACAGCCCCAACAGAACAGAGCGGGAAGTGAAGCATGATGGGAGATTGAGAGTCACCAGCAGGTGGCAGGTCACTTTTAGAGCTACGGCTACCGGGTGCATTTTGATGCCTCTTTCTGGAGTGAATTTTAAAGTCTTCCTCCAGCCTTTCTTTCTGACCATAAACCTCCCCATTTATTCACTGGTTCAACTTCCTTGCTATATTTACCTGAATAAGACCATGCATTTCGGAAGAGTCTACAACATGAAATGAAATCAGTAGACCCTCCAGGGCAAAGTCTAGCCTCTTAAACCCTGTGAACTCGGGGATCTAAAGTCCTTAGAGGACATGACAGTGAATTGAGCTCCCGTCCCTGACTTAGCCCCCAAGCCCAAGCTTCTGAGAGGAAGGGACTCTTACTGCTTCATCAAAAACAAGGTGGAAAGGAAAAGCATTGCAGAACACCTCCCCTTCGATCCACAGTCTCTCCGGATAGACAGGCTGGAAGGCATCCCTGAAGGGCCCTAGACACAGAGAGAGAGAAAGCTCTAGTGAGAGGCCCCGGTGGAGGCACTTGGACAGGGTTAGAATCTTAAGTGTGTCAGGAGCGAAGTGTGATTCCCACTTCTCAGCCCAGGCTCCCTCAGCATCTCCAGATGGCCACAGCAATTATCTCCCAAATTAAAACAAACAGAAAATTTGCGACCAGGTTGAGAAGCCCTCCTGCCCCCTGCCAAGTTTCTGCCCGCTGCTGAAGAGTTAGTCTCGGGGCCAATTGAGTATGTCTCACCATGAAAACAGAGCTGGCATTGAAATGGTGACAAGCAGACAATGAGCCAGGAGAGGAGTGAGTGTGTGCCCGGGCCGGCAGCAGGGACGTTTGCCATAGAGCTTTGTAGACTGACAGTTGAGGGTGGCACGTGAAAATTTAACCAACAGTCCTATTTGGCAGGGGGTGCAGATTCTCAATGGAGCCTTTTTGATATGAAAATCTCCTAGACAAAGGATGTCAACTGTGTTTGCCACAGCTTGAAGGACTCAGAATGCAGCTCTTTGAGCCCTGCAGACCCTCTCCCAGATGTCTGTCATTTGACCTACCAGGCCATGACAAGGAGCATCTAGCTCCCTTCTTCCACTGGGTCAGAGCTCTGATACTGACTTGAATGTCAGGTGCCGGGTGTCAGTCTAGCTCAGTGCCCCAAGACCCAGTGTGTTGAGCTTATCATCTTTACTTTGTGAATGGAAAGCTGGACTGCATTGTCCCATGTCGCAGCTCCTCAGAGAGAGACAGAAATGTGCTTTCTTGATTCTTGCCCTCTGTTCTTCATTCTGCTGGCTGGCTGTGGTTAGCCACAGATTCCCAGTCCAGAAACACACCCCAATTAATAAGGCCTGGGTCCAGAAGAGATGCAGAATTTACTATGCCCAGGACATCTGTGCCCAGCCGCCTCTTCATAGGCACCTCCTGGGATGAGCACAAGTCAGTGGCTTTCCTGATCACAAAGATGATGGTGTCTTCATGCTGCCCAGCACAAACAAAGGAGCTACTATATGGCAAGTTAGAAGCTGATTTTAAAAGTTAAAAACCGCCCGGCGGTGGTGGCCCACACATTCAATCCCAGCACTTGGGAGGCAGAGCCAGGCGGATCTCTGTGAGCTCAAGGCCAGCCTGGGCTACCAAGTGAGTTCCAGGAAAGGCACAAAGCTACACAGAGAAACCCTGTCTCGAAAAACAAAACAAAACAAACAAAACAAAACAAAAAGTTAAAAACCATAGTTGCTAAATCCAAGCTCCAAAGGAATCAAGGCCTCAAAATTATAGAGGACTTTGCCCCATTTGTGTACGGGACTCTTGCCCTGCAAACCAGACAGTTGTTCTTATCTAAGAGCTGGATCCAGGAGAACAGCACACTCACCTTTTCCAAACACGACTGATGCCTTCGCATCCCTGTGAGATTTCTCCTCAGGGCCAACAGAGATGCTCAAATATTTCTCCTTCATCGTACAGACCGTTGTCTTGAGAGCCTGCAGAGGGCAGGGAGGGGAGGAAGCCCAGGCACCTGGTCACAGGACTGGGGATGAAAAAGCCCTGCTTGCTGCTGCTGGGCCCATCTTTGTGTACCGAAGAGTGTTGGTGGGCAGAGGGACAGCGTGAGGGCTTGGAAGATCAGTTCTATCAGGAGCCTGGAGCTCCAAGGTGTACTTGCTAGTTAATCCTCCAGCCCTTACTCTATCAGAGGAAGAAAGATATTTTTACAAGATCTCCAGGGAATGCTTAGAGGCTCATGAGTTCCTTAGCGTAGCTCTGAGACTATGTCCCAGGGTTAAATACAAAATGTGGCAAAAGCAGGTTACAAAGGTGCTCACCAGAGTCTCCCTTTACAGTAGCAACTGAAGATACACAGCAGTGGGATAGTTAACCATGCCAAGACACATTTCCCAGAGAAGACGTTCACACACAGAATCGGCAGCCTCTTGAGACGGGAGATGACTCTTCCTAGGGTAATAAGTGCATGGCTCTTGGGGGCCCATGAGCTGATCACACAGCACACACACAGCCCTCCCTAGATCGATGAGTCACTCTCAGATTGGGCCAAGGGGGTATGCAGAGGGCTCCTTACTTGTTCAGGCTGCTGACATGTTTAAAAACGACCAGGCCCAATAAAGATAATCTCAGCGGCCATCCAGTTCTCACCGTAAGATCTACTAGGCCAGCGGCATGTCGGTGCTCCTCTCATGGAGCCTCCCCGAATGGTAGGAGCTCTTTCTCATGTTTCCCTGGTAAACCTGTGTTCGTTCTGCCCACCCCTTATCCCAGTTCCCTTCTTGGATGTGAGACAACAAACTCCGAAGCTACTGGCTCATTGGTGACTGTCATTTATCTGAGACCCCAGCACCTGAGGCAAACTCACCAAGAATCGAGAACGTCTCCATCACTTTCAACGAACCCACAGCACTCTTCCTGAGGTTGAATCCTCTCCAGTGAGTGGACCCTGACAGCTTTGCATGCTATCCAATGTAACCCTGGGCTGTAAAACGTGACCTCGGGCTCCAGGAGTCATACTCCTATCTGTGTGCTTGAACAGGCTACGTGGATTCAGAAAGATTTCAACCTAACACACGTGGCCTCTAAGCTGGCAGTGATCACCTTATGTGCTGTGGACGAGGTGGTCAATGATAGGCTCTTGACTACACGCTGGACCCGTCACTGGTCCCACCTGCTAAGTGGGCACTGAGGACCTGACAGGTCCACTCATCTCAAGAGGACTGCGAAAGAAGATAGCAAATTCCAACTTCAAGTCCTTTATCTTAGGTTGTTGTTGAGGTTTTAAGAGAGACTTCTTGTTCTTCATCTCAGACTGGCCTCAAACTCATAGCAATTCTCCTACTCCAGCATCCCAAGTGCCTTATAGGTATGAACTATACCTATACCCAGCTTTGGCATTTCTATATGTGAACATTTTACAGGCTGAGGTACGTACTAGAAAGTCTGCATTAAGTTAACCTTGGCTTTGTGATTCTCAGCTAGAAGGGATTTTTCTCTCCCACCTCTAGTCATGGGACCTGGGCAATGCTTGGAAACAATTAGATTGCCACAACTAAGTGGTAGCATTTTAGTCACATTGGATGGACAAAGGTCTGTGATGTGGCGAAGGATCCTACAAAGTGCAGCCCATCACAGCCCAGAATAATCTGGTCCACAGTGTCAAGAAAGCCAGGCCTGGGAGAGCTTGCCTAGAATTCCACTGTTCAAGGCCCGCTTATTTGTGTTGTTCGCATAGACCGTTCCAGGACAAGTAGCCATCCTGGGGAAGCTATGCTCTCTGAAGACACGGCAAGCGCAGTACCTCTTGGTCTGTGTGGATGTCCTCACTGTTGTGCGGCCTGTTGGCCTCTGCCCTTTTCGTCTGTCTGCGAGCCTTCTGTACAACCAGAAACACGACATGCTCCTTCTTCCCTGTCCTCTCCACCTCTTCGTTCATGTCAAGGATGCTCATGGTCACATCAGTGTCAAAGAAGTCCTTGGCCACAGCTTCGATGATGCCTGCAGCAGAACGACACCTATGGGTGAGGAATGGCAAGAGGAAGCACACCACCAAGCATCACTGACATATCCACATGCACAACTTTGTGAGTTTTCTTCAGTTCACTACGCCCATGTCACTCAGGCCTCAAGGCAGACATCCTATGATGACTCAAGGGGAAGATTATTCAGGGATTTAAGTTCTGAGAATCTGAATACTAAATATGTCCCTGTCCTTATGATTTCTACCTCAATGTTTGTTCATGCTTTTCTTCCACGAAGACATATAACTCATTAGACAAACTGTAAATGGAAGCAAAATTCCACTGGAAATGCATTAAAGCTCATGGGTTCAAAACTATTGTTCTGGGAATCCATCTAGGGGTAAAATATAAAATATGAAGAAAGCAAACGTGAAGTTTCCCACTGCATTATATACATTAGCAAAGGATCACAACAACCACAAATGCAGCCATGGGGCAGTTAAGGGGAGTGTGGCATGAAATAGCCACCTGCCCATACAGGGCTTTAGGGCAGGAGATGGACCTCCGTGGAGGAGAATGTATACTAAGAATGCAGGAGGCGTTGGGTTCAAAGCAAAAGACTAAGTACCAAGACTGTTCTACAATGCTGAATTCTTTTAAAGTCAATAGATACAAACATCTCCACAGAATCATCATAGCTCTGCAAACAACTGTGTAGAGTGTTAAAGATCATGTCTTCTACTATGTTCTGGAAATTACTCTAAAAATCTCCAGATCCTTACGATCACGACAGAGAAGCCGGTCACCATAGGAGGTGAAGTGCTCTCCTCACAGCAGGTGTATGGCCACCCTAGAGAGTTCTGGGATGGGCTGATCCATGTCCTACCTGGTACAATGTGGCAGAGGCCACTTCTGTCTGAGTAGTAATGGAGAAGCATTGCCCCGTCAGCTCCTCCCTCAACTCGAAAGGACGGTGCGTTCATTTCCTGATGAACAGAAACAGCACATTTCTCCAATATTGAAAACACGTTGTTTATATTATGGTTTTTATAGGCTCATAACGTATTTTTATTTTTCTGGGTTAACATAAAAAACAATGAGTTTAACCACAGCATCTTTATACATACATACATATATATATATAGACTGGCCCTGCACCCCCTCCAGCTGGCTCCCTTTTTTCCTCATTTATACCCTTTGGTTTAATTATCACATGTATTCCATCACTTCTACCTCCCATCTCCCTTAAGATCTCTTGTTCCTCTCATGATCCCCTTTCTATTCTGTGATGCTAACACGCATACACATTAATATATATATATATACATACATGTACATGCATATATAATTTAAAATATTTGTTACTTATTTTTATTTTACGTGTATGAGTGTTTTGCCTGTGTGTGTGTGTGTGTGTGTGTGTGTGTGTGTGTGTGTGTGTGTACCACATGTGTGCCTGGTGGCTGTGAAGGCCAGAGAGGGTATTGGATTCTCTGGAACTGGAGTTACAGATGGTTGTGAGCTGCCATGTAAGTGCAGGGAAGTGAGCCCAGGTTCTCTGAAAGAGCAGTAATCTTCCTTAATCACTGTGACATCATTCCAGCCCCTCCTTGTAAATTTTATGTTTGAGATAGGGTCTCAATGTGTAACCAAGGTTGGTCTAGAATTCACTATGTAGTCCAGGCTGACCTCAAACTCACAGAAATCTGTCCACTTGTTGCCTCTTGAATGCTAGATTAAAGGAGCATACTGCTACACATGGTCTGAATATGAATACTTTTAAATCCAGGTCTGCATATGGGAGAAAACACTGAGTCTGTCTTATTTCATTTAACACAATCATTTCCAGTTGCATTCATTTTCCTGAAAATGATATGACTTTATTTTTCTATATAGCTGCAAAAATACTCAATTGTGTGTATGTACCATATTTTCTTTGTCTATCAATTAGGTTTTAGACTGGTCCCATGGCTTGGCTGTTTGCACAGTGCAGCAATAAACATGGATATGTAAATATTTCTCTAGATGACTTAGAGCCCTTGGGTATATGCCCAAGAATGGTATAGCTGTGTCATAAACTACGATTTTCAAAGTGGTGTGAAGCAATAGTATGTACCCATTAGCCCACACAGAACTACAATAGAATGTATCCTTTACTATACACATAGAACTACAATAGTATTTCTCTACAATAGTATATATATATATATATATATATATATATATATATATATATATATATATATATATAACTATTCCATTTGGTAACTGGGCCTCACCCAGAGAAGTTAAAATGAGATTAATGAGAGAACCATTGCTAAGCCTCCATGACCCTTAGCACTACACCATGCTGCTTCTATATACCCCAAGGGTTATCTGTCACCATACTTGGCCTGTGACCAAGCCACATGAGCACTTTCACTGGGGAAGATTAGCGGCTCAGAGACCTCACAACTGGAAACAATCAACCCCTTTTTGTTCTGAAGGCTGGTTCCACTTGAAAACTAGAACCCTCAAGAACATACTTTAGACTAAGCCACTTGGCGGGGACATGATCCAACTTTTGAGATTTCTGCAGTCTGTGTAGTGTGTTCCAGATTCTCAGCTTTTGTGAGCTGTCACCCATGCTGGGGAGAACTTTGGTGATGCAGCTGTCTGTGAGTCATTTCATCTCCTGTAAGTGACCCCTCACCTATATTCCTGTAAGCCACCCCAATAAAACTCATTGGTTCACCAGTTGGACTTGGGTGGTATCCGTGCTTTGGTCTGTCACGGGCTCCCAATCTGGGCTAAGTAGACATGTGTTGCCTCTCCCCAGGAAAGGTCTTGTTGCACAACAACAGTGTATGTTATGTTGGTGTGAATCTATGTTTCCATCTCTGTGTGTGTATTATGTGTGGCGTACGTATGTATGTGCACATACATGTTGGGTGGTAGAGGGGTAGGGTCTAACTATCCGCACCCTACTGGGTCTACTTGGGTGAAGAAATTTGACCGCAGCTGCCGTGTAAGCTCTTATGATGCTGGAACTGTCTGTGCTGAACAGAGAGAAGGAAGTTCAAGGAGAAGTGATTGTTTATAAAACCTTTTCTGGGTCCACTCCAGTGTTACGGCCCTTTATTATGCCTCTTTCAATCCACACATCACAGTAAGGAGGGTTATTTGCTTCCTATTTTTGTCTGTGTCAAATGCCTTTGTAAAAAGTGCTTCATTCATGGTGGGTACTCAATAACTATTCAGGAGCTGCCAGGATAACTCCATGGGAAAAACTCTTACTGTGAAAGTGTGAAGACCTGAGTTCAAATCCCTAAAATCCACTTAAAGCCAGGTGTTGTCGTGTGTATAGTAATCCCAGGACTCCTACGGCAACATGAGAGGACAAGACAGGATAATCCAGGTCCAGCTAGCCTGGTCTACCCAGCAGCAAACCATGAGAAGCTTTGTGTCAAACAAGATGGGAAGTGGGAACTGACACCTGAGGTCATCCTCTGATTTCCACATGGCCACACTCCTTCCTATACACACACACACACACACACACACACACACACACACACACACAAACACATACACATACCACACATACACAAACACACACATACACACCACACACACACATAAACGCACACATACACACCACACACATAAATGCACACATACCACATACACACAAACACACATACACACCACATACATACATAAACACACCACACACACATAAACAAACACACATACACATACCACACATACCAAATACATCAGATACACATACAAACCACACAAACACACATACACACACCATATACAAACCACACAAACACACATACATACACAAACACATATACATCTGACACACAAACACACATACACTTACCCCACACACACAATGCTTTCATATTATCTTGATCTGGAAGATGGAAAAAGCATGTTCCCCTTTGCCATAATAGTTAACAAGCACAGTCCCATCTTATCTTCATGACCACCCTCCTGAAGTGCTTATGAACACAAGATATATAAATAATGAAGAAAGTTCTTGGTCACATACATATATAAAGGGACATAAAAATAAACTGTTTGAATCAACTAAGCAGGGCTCGTAGGGGCTCACAGAGACTGAAGTGACAGTCACGGATCCTGTATGGGTCTGAGCTAGGTCCTCTGCAAATACGTTATGGTTGTGCAGCTTAGTGTTCTTGTGGGACTCCTAAGAGTGGAAGTGGGGGTGTCTCACACTCTTTTGCCTGCTCCTGGGACCCTCTTCCTCCTACTGGGTTGCCTGGCTGAGCCTTGATATGAGGATTTGTGCCCAGTCTCATTGTAACTTGTTATGCCATGCTCAGTGGATGTCATTGGAAGGCCTCCTCTTTTTTGAGGGGAAATGGAGGAGGAATGAATCTGGGTGAGAGAGGGGGCGATGAGGGGGAGAATTGGGAGGAGTGGAGGGAGGGGAAACTGTGGTCAGGATGTAATGTATGAGAGAAGAATAAACAAATAAAATAAAAACAAACTGCTTTATTGTGTGCTTTATGTGAGTTAATAAGCTATTATTTATGCTATGGATGAATACCACACCTTTACAATAAAGCATTTTGATGTTTAAAAAGAAAATCTAGGCATTTGAATTTTCAATCAGCTCTACCAAGAACACCAGCAAGGCATGAACTCCAGAAAGACGTATCCCAGTTGGGAATTTAAGTTTCCTAACACCCCAATGGGTTAATCAGTGTTGGATGGCTCCCAGTTCTGGCTCTTGGCCCTGCCAAGCTTCGCCTAATCTGGTTGCATATGCTATTATCAGCTCAACCCCGGCCAAGAGACCTGAAGAGGTATTTGAAAATCCACCCCAACCTGTTTTTCAGCCCTTGTTCCCATCTCAGATTCATTCTGAGTCTGCATTCAACCTTGAGAAGTACACACCCGCCCCCACACACCCCCCCAAACCACCACAAGGCTAGAACTCTGACTTTTGTCAACCATTTATAAAGGAAGCCAGTGGGTATATACCCTCCTTTTTTCCTCTAAGAGAGCTACTGGGCCCACTGATGCCAGAGGCCATGGATTGTACAGCTCCCCTCAGGACCACCAAGACAAAGCCCAGATGGACTTACCTGGTAGGACAGTGCCAGGTAACTGTGGAGGGCATCTAGGTTTTCAATAAACTCTGTGAGACTCCCTCCCAGGGTCCGCAGCATCCTGTCGTAGCCAGACATCTTACAGAACTTGAAGAAGTATTCGCCAAAGAGCTTCAGAATGGCTTCCATGGATACGTCTGTGGGATACACACACCCCCAGTCAGATCCCTAGGAGGTGCAGTTATCCCTTGGGGAGTCTTTATTCATAGCCAAAGTGCTCACACCCTGCTGCTGTGATACAGACTGTCTAATCCTGCACCTTCTTCATCAACCACAGGTCAGGAATCACCTCAGTGTCACAAGGCACCATTTTAAAAAAAAAAAAAAAAAAGCTGGGAGCAGTCCTGGTTAACCACGAATCCCTCCAAAGCTCACTCAGTCTTTTCTCTAACCTCTAGGACAGATATTTCCCAGTGGTTCAAGAGAGAGCTGTAGAGCCAGTGGACTGTCTTGACCACAGATCCTGTGCCCAGATCCAGGTTAACTCAGGGCAGGATAGAGCGCAGTCCCTCCGGTCTCTCCCACCACCTTGCGCACCTTCAAACAACAGCCTGCTGGGGAATCGAAGGCTGACTCTGAGAACTGACTAACACTGAAATGCAAAATGATTTTACCCAAAAATTCACCTGAAAGATGAGAGCAAACACCTGTGACATCGATGCCCTTCTCTCTCAGCTTCACCAGGTCTCAGTTTCCCTTCAGGGTTGTTTTCATGTGAAATTCTCCATAATGATTTTCCTGCCAGTCTCCAGGCTACCCTGACCTTGCTCTCCCTGTGTGTTGCATTCTGTCTTTCTAACTATCAGGGAATTCTTATGGGCAGTAACCAAGTCCTGCTTGTTTTTTTTAGCTGGATACAAAGTAAGTGATGATGAATCCCAGAGGTAGAGCTATAGTACAAGGTGGGGTATGGCCCATGTCTCCCCATTTCCTGTGTGAATGGTGGGGACAGGGAGTGTTTCCAAGTGTAGTCTGGAGTTCCTACAATATTCAATAATCAATTATTCTTCTCAGAGCATGCTAGGATCTTGGGCACAGATGATCCTGTTGTCCAAGGAGAAACTGGGAGCGAGCCAGAGGCCAGATTTGCTGCCATGTCTCTGACTGAATTCCATGTCCTCTGTGCCATATCCCACAGCCAAACAAGGTGAAGGCTTCTCTCACTATCATTGTGGACACAGGACATAGACTTCACTGCTGTGGCCAGTCTGAAGCTCCCGGAGACCATTCTCTTACTTGGGGTAGAGTTCTGACTCCTGGTGGGGCTGAAGAAAGTCCCTGGGATTCCTAGCAGAGTCACAGTTCCTGACGGCATCCTCTAAAGACTGCTTTTCCCAGTGGACCTGGACATCACAGTGAGAAGCTCTCTGTCCTGCCCAACGACTCAACACAGAGTACTGCAGAGCGGCGGGCATGCAAAGTGGTCCTTATTCCCAAGACTCTGCTCCTTTAAGATGGTCAGAACATCGAGGCCTTAGGGTACAAGCCTGTACGTAGCAATAAGATATTCAGAGGTGGAGGCAGGAGGATCACAAACTTTTGACATGCCTGGGCTACAGAGTCCATTTAAGGCTAGGCTAGACCCTAGTGAGACCCTGTCTCAAAGTGAAAAATAAAAAGAAGGATGGAGCTATAACTCAGTGGTAAGGGGTCGTTTTTTAAAGTCACACACACATGAGCCCCTAGACTCAGTCCTTAATAACTTGCATATATGAGTACACACACACACACACACACACACACACACACACACACACACACACACCACAATAACAGATTCCTTATAGCTCTCTGTCAACAGCCAGACCTCTGGGAAGATAATTCTTATGGAATCTGAGCTCGCACAGATAAATCAAACATAGTTTGCCAAAACTACTAGCCAGGTCTTCTGAGTCTAGACAATGGTCCGGATGGAAGGATAAGAGAAAGCCATGGCCTGTGTGAATTGCCTCTTCTGTCCCTCTTAGCTGAAAAAAAGGTTTGTCTATGCCAGAACCCAGGAGCCACCTGCTCAATCCTAAGGGAACTGAAATCCATTCTATTCAGGTCTTTCCCAGCCCATGCAGACAGGTGTGGGACTGTCGCTTAAAAACTCTCCCCCACCCTTCCTGCTGCATGAATCCAGCTCATTCAAGCCAAGATGAAACAGCTGCAGCCTGGAGCTCTATGCAGGTGCATCCTGTTACCTGCCAGGAAACAGGAAGGGCTCCCTTCTCCCGGGGGAACTGTCTGTTTGGCTGGAGTTAAAGCTGAAAACCTGGGGGAAGGGGAACCCAAGGTATTGGCTGGTTGGGCCCCAGCTGTTTGGTCTCTGGGTGCCCAGCCCCGTCAACAGAAAAGGACCCCCATTTGAGGCTAATTTCCTTAAACCACAACCTGGGCTTGGGGGAGGGAGTTGCCATCTGGGCTGGCCTTGAGCTGCTTCTGGGACTCTCAGTGCAGAATGCCTGCCCTGACAGGGGACAAAGGCCTCTTTTTAAAGTCAACAGCTGCCACATTTTTTTATTCAGTTTCACCTCTGTGAATTCAGGATTTTGAGAGCCCTCTGCTTCCCAGGAGACCATGGAGGTATGGAAAATGGGAAGGAAGGGGGAAGAGAGCCCAAAACATAAGTGGACTTTAAAATGTTATTTGGTAGTGTGAAGAAAAGTCTCTAGGATGTGAACTTTTGCATCTTTTGTCCATGAGAGGGAAATAAAAAGGGAGGTATCTCTCTGTTTATCTGTACAAAATTAAACACCAGCAGTATAAACCAGGGTCTTTGAGACTGGTTACTAAGGGACCTTGGTGGGAATGGGGTAGGGAGAAAAGTTTGAAAGGTCAGGGGTTAGCACTTCTCATCAGAACTCTGTGAAGAGCTCCAGCATTATGAATCATGTTACAGATGCATGGGCTTATGTTAAGTAAGACAATGGTAGAGGAGAGCTCTGAGACAGAAAACCAAACGCAGTTAACATTCAGGAAATAACCTCAGCTGTTCAGGGAACTGAAGCAGGAGAACCACAAGTTCAGGGCTTGAATGAACTATAAAGCCAGTTCAAAGCCACCCTAGGCAACTTAGTGAGACCTTGTCACAAAATAAAAGATAGAGGGCTGGGGACATGACTCAATAATAGAGCACTTGCCTACCAAGTGAGATGATCTAGATTCAATCCCTAATACAAGAAGAGAAAGCCCTCTCTGTCTCTGTCTCTGTCTCTGTCTCTGTCTCTGTCTCTGTCTCTGTCTCTGTCTCTCTCTCTCTCTCTCTCACATACACACACACACACACAGAGAGAGGGGGGGAGAGAGAGGTGGACATACACAAAGAAAGAAACAAAGAAGTCATCAGAGTAATATTTCAACAGAAAAATTTGGATAACAAAATTATTTAGAAAAAAAATTTCACCTGTCTGGGCAAAGAGATGGTTCTGTGATTAAGAGCATGTTCTGATTTGCAGGCAAATGGATGGAACTAGAAAAAATCATCCTGAGTGAGGTAACCCAAACCCAGAAAGACAGTCATGGTATGTACTCACTCATAAGTGGATTCTAGATATAAAATAAAGAACAATCAGACCACAACCCATAGAACCAT